TAAGTTAGTTCGGTTAGTAAAAACCCAAAAAAAAAACGATATTAACTCGAAATAAATGATATTTTGATAGTGAAAAATAGATAATCAAACTGAAATATAAATTTTCAAACCAAAATTTTCAGTTGTTCAATTTTTAGTCGCTATTTGTGCAACATGGTAGTCATTAATGTGCAATTTATCTAACACTATCATGCCCACATGCATTTTCAATGGATTTAGTTCGGTCGATTTTGTCGATAAAGTGCAATACGACAGTCATTAATGTGCAATCCATCTAACACTAATGTGCTCTCGATATGTAGTATTTTTAATGATTTTTGCCCAAACCAAACTAAAACACGAAATAATTGGTTTTATTTGATCGGCAAGCCGAATAAACGTAAATAATCTAAATAATTTATAATTTATGTTATGAATATATATTTATTATTTTAATATTTTTATTTAATATTCTTTATAAAATAAAAATAATATAAATAATCTAACAAAATAACATATTTTTATACAGTTCTACCGTTCGATTATTTAAAACAATAAAACTGACATTATGTATATCTATTGTTTAACTAGATTTCTAATTTATGTTGTGTGGAATTTTGGCCGGAGTTATTGACGTTAATGGTGGAACGTTGTGATAAAGTGCAGCTTGTTATTTTATAAAGTGCAAATTATTGTTTTATAAAGCGCAACACATTGATCTATAAAGTACACTACTTAGAATTGTATCGATTTAATTCGTATATCATTAATGGCAGTCTATAGAGTAGGTGTTTTTTTTTATGTGCATTTCACTTTTTAGAATATTGTAATAGTGTCTTTTCAATTAACGTTATTACATATAATAAAAATATATTTGTATTTATAGTTCTTATTTAATATTTTATAATATTATGTGTTTCAAATAAATAAAATGTATACAAATAAAATATAAAAGTAATAATTTTTATATAGTTCAATCGGTTCTGTTATTTCATTTTTTTTTTTAGTAAATAAATCCGAAACCAAATCAGAATAACCAAAATTTAAATATATGTGGACATTCACTAATGTGCACCGTGTTTTATAATTTATATTGTTGTGTATTGTGCAATCTATAATGTGAGTTTTTTATGTGCAAATCCAAACTACAACCAAAACGAAATAATTAGATTTTTCGATTGGTTAATCTAATAAACCTAAATAATTTTAATAATTTATTCTTATATTATAAAAATATATTAGTATTTTAATAATTTTATTTAACATTTTATATTTTTTTTTTGTTGAAAAATAATATACTATATAAATGTCAAAAATATCTGTACAAAATATTTTTATTTATATATTCTTTATAAATTAGAAATTAGCCCCATATACTAAATTGAAATATAGTTAAAACTCCTTAATTTACAACTAGGTCCTTTTGATTATCTAATTTACAAAAAAATGTCCACCCCCAAAATTCTGAAATTGGAATCTTCACAACCCTAATTTTTGAGATGGACCGAGATGGCAGCGGGAAAAGCAGGTATGGCCGTGTCGTGGTCATCATCGACCGGGGAAGGATGAACAACCATCACCTCGAACAGCCGCGGACTTCCTCTCACCACCGCACTGAACCTAAAACCACCCTTCGGGCTGCTACAGGTGACGGACGGACGCGGAGGCGGAAGATGGAGTTGATCAGTGGCGGGACGTGGGGGAGCAGGGCGGAGGTCGGGTAGAGAGAGGAAGACGCGGTGGTGGGTCAGAAGCGGCTTTCATGGTGGCGAACGTTGCTACCGGCGTTTGCGACGGAAATCTAGCGGACCGACATCGACGACTGGAGGCCGCCGGAGAAGCTATAATCCGACAGTGAAAAGCCTCGGTCGGCAGTGTCGAGGTGGAGCCGGTGTGGATTTGTTCGGCAAGACAAGGCTTCATTGTGTGCTAAGTGTGTGTGTATTGAGTGTGTGGAGCTATGAAAGAGAGTCGGTGTGCGTGTGAGGAAGAGAGAGATAGATAATGTGTGAAAGAGAGAGAGGATAAGGTGTATTAATGTGTAGTTGGCAGGTTTCTTAAACGTGTATTAATGTGTAGTGGGACCTAGTTATTTGAATATGTGGTGTGGAAAAATTTCACAATACCCTTAGGCTCCATTTGATTTGAGGGATTTGAAATCCCTTGGTTTCAAAATTTTTGAATTATAAATTTTTTACTTGCACACTCCTTGAATGGATGTGTTGAAAATATTATAAATAAATTGTCTAGCTCGCACTGATGGTGTTGACTTGCAGTGGTGATGAACCTAAATGATCGCGGACGGCGTGGTCGTAAACGGTGATAAACAGTGGATTTCAAATGACTAGGTTTGAGGAATCATCTCAAATCCTTCAAAATAATGACTAATAAAAAACGTCTAGTATGAATTTGAAATCCTCCAACTTCCATTATCATTCCAACATGCATGAGCATTTGAACTTGTAAATTTCAAATCTATGGATTTCAAATCCCTCAGCAAATCCCTCAAAACAAACGGAGCCTTAGTGAGGTATAATTTTGGATTTTTTTTAAGCTGTTGGATCATTCAATCCTATGAGTGTGATTTATTCTCATTTCTTTAACTATGACCCTTTCTCACTAAACCCAACCCTATATATACATATATAATTATATAATACATACTTTTTCGTTAACAGTTAGGTAGGTCAATTCTTCATATATTTTATACAAATACATATTTATACTGTGAAACGACGTAGTCTTATTTATTTAATATTAGTAATCAAGTCATTTGTGACGGTATTTATATTTGTTAAAAGAGTATAGAGGCTTAATGGCTAAAGCGACCTAATGGTTACGTCAGCCTAACACAAGACTTATTGTCTATATAAGGTTAAGCATTCACTAAAATAGAAAGTAAATTTTCGTAACTATTATTTTTTACTTTACTTTCTTTCTTTATTTTTTTTTAAATGATATGAGTTTGACACAAATAAATATTCTTGACAATCATTGCTAAAACATTTGTTTCTTTCGTAATATTAATTTTCCCATATAACTAATAAAATAATCATGCTATTTAGAAAACTAGACTTGTCAAAATGGGCTGAGGCCCGCGGGCCGCCCCGCCCCGCCAAAAGAGTGGGTTGGGTTGGGATATTAGAGGCTCGCTGGGGAGCGGGCCTAAACGGGCCAGCCCGCGCGGGCCGCGGGCTTTGGCGGGGTGGGCCTGGCAGCCCAATATAGATAGATTAATTACTTAGATTAATTACTTAGTCCAAACAAAAAATAAGTCCAAACAAAAAATAAATCAAGGCAGCCCAATAGATAAACAAACTAAAAGGCCCATTTTCATTTTCAATTCTCATCAATCTCGAATCGGAGGGGTTGAAGTTGAATATTCTTTCCAATCCTCATCCCTAATTTCCAATCCTCCTCTCCAATTCTCCATTCTCCATCCCTAATTTCACTTTACTTTTATGAATTGGCCGACTGTTCTTCCAGTACGAATCGAGCACGAAGGATGGGATGTCTACTGACATGTCGTGCTCCGGTGCCGACTCCAAGCTCCTCCGCGCCGGGCTCCGACAGTCACGTGGCTCCGTGGATTTGGACTTGACGAGTCTGAATCTAGGGTGATTCGCGACATGCGGCGGCGGCTTGTCTTAATCGATGGAAAGACGAGGGGATATGCCCGCCCCGCCTAATGGCGGGTTTCGGCGGAGTCTATAGAAAACTCATAAAATCATATGTTACCATTTAAAAGAAAATTATTCCAAACTCAATAATCCATATATATTTAAAGAGGTTAAACAATATATGTTGAAAGAGGTAGATGTTTAATTCATAAATAGTAGGTTGACTTATTAATTTTAAGATGTTAGCTTACTAATCAAGAATTTTTTAAAAAATTATTAAGTTTCAAATCTCCCGTATCATATTTTATGTATTATTGTAGAGAAAATTAATGAATTTTAAATCAAGACGGACGTCTGCATTCCAATTGAAAAGATTGTCCGCATTTCAAGTAAAAAAATCTCCAATCTACAATTGCGGTTAACTATAAAAATACTATATTTTCTACATTATTCAAAAGCGATATGATCATTAATATGAGATGTATGATGGTTCAGTCGATGCCATCCACTAGGGTGGCACCCGTTTTTTCTCTTTTTATTGACCAATCACATAGTTGTTTTCACCCTTTTTATTTTATTGACCAACCACATCTTGCAATGTGTTATTTTGTAATAGTTTATTGTTTAAATGTTTTACTTAATCTTAATGAAACAATAGTTATTTGTTTTTGTATTTTTATTCATCTTTTTAACCTTTCTTCACTTATTATCATTATTTTATAATAAATTATATAAGCATGTAGTTTCACTTAACATAGCAAACCTTATTATGTCCATTTTTACTATTTGTGTTTTGCATAATATATTAAGATATATTTTTCTTGTACTCATGTTATTTTCTTGTTCTTAAATTATTGTCTTGCTCTGATACTATTTTTATATTATCATTTTAGGTAGTCCTATTTTAATTATTTTTCTATGATTTGGTGTATAACTTTATATATTATAATCTATCTGTTTTAAGTTTTATTTGTCCTTTTCTTTTATATTAAATTACTTTTTCTATTAAATAATCTCTATCCTTAGTTTTCTTTTATTTTCTATTTCATATAATTCAAGATTTATATATCCAATATTTACTAGTATGAATCCCGTGCAATGTTGTGCAAGAGATATCCATTAGTATTTATAAAATATCCATTAAATAGTATTTATAAATTAAAATTATGGAATCAATATGTAATAAAAATTATCTATATTAATTTATTAAAAATGTAATATGACATTTTCAGTTATGAAAAATTACATAAAACTTGTCTATTTAAAATTATTACACAACTCGTACAGTGCACGTAACTTATAATAAATTAAATTTTATTTATTTCAAAATAAGTGTCATTTTAAAATTTTTATTTTCAATTTCGATTTGACTACATTGTGTATCTTTATTTGGTTATAGGTTGTGTAGGCTTGGGGTTTTAGAGGTGTTATCAAGGGTCGGGTGTTTGTACCTGCTTGATACCTCGGGTGGGGTGTTTGTAGACCACTATGCATAGTGGTTCTCCAAGTGTATTTCTACCCGTTTGGTATGCTCGGAGGTGCGACTTTGTACTCTTTATTTATTGAGATGAGAATTCCCTATCGTTTGAAAAAAAAAAAAGAATTGAATCGGTTCTATCTATTAAGTGAACGGGGCGTTACATGAAGTGCACTCGGTATCGAAGTACTTACTCCCTTTACTTCCTCTAGGACATGTCTACTAGTGGGCTTATGATCTACAGCATAGTCTTCTTCCAGAAATCTAGCGTTCGTGCTATCAATCACTTTCTGGTCGTCTGGACTATAAAATAGACCACCTTTCGTTTCCTTAGAATATCCCACAAATAGCCTAACTTCTGTTCTAGGTTCTAAGTTATTAGTATTAGCCCTCAGCACATGTGCTGGACTACCCCGTATCCTGAGATGTCTTAGAATGAGTTTGTGCCTAGACTGCAACTCCAATGGTGTACATGGTACTGATTAAGAAGGTACCCTATTCAGAATGTATACAGCTGTTTTCAGAGCATATCCCCAAAACGAAACTGGTAAAGTACTATAACTCATCATAGCCCTAACCATTTTCATAAGAGTTTTATAACTTCGTTCTGCTACGCCGTTCTGCTAGGGAGTGCCAGGCGCAGTTAGTTAGGATGTAATCCCATTATATATTAAGTAGTTCCTAAATTCACTCGAGAGATATTCGCCACCACTGTCGGATCGTAACGACTTGATACTTTTTCCTAACTGCTTCTCCACAACTGCCTTATACTCCAAGAACTTCTCGAAGCATTCAGACTTGTGGCGTAGTAGATAAATGTATCAATATCTCGAGTAATCATCGATAAATGTAATGAAGTACTCGAAACCACCTCTCGCTTGAACAGACATAGGACCACATAAATCGGAATGAACTAGCCCTAATAAATCTTCAGCTCTATTCCCCTTTGTCTTAAAAGCCCTCTTATTCATTTTGCCTTCCAAGCAGGATTCGCAAGTTAGAAAAGCGTTGACTTCGAACGACCCCAAGGGGCCGTCTGCCACTAACCTTTGAATCCTCCTCAGGTTTATATGACCAAGTCTTAGATGCCAAAGATATGTTTCGTTCATTTTCGAAGGTTTCTTTCTCTTATTTAGATTAGATGATGAATTAAGTAATTGTTTATGTTGCAGTGGACTAGACTTTGGTTTTAGGATATACAGATTGTCTACTAATGGACCCTCACATATGAACGTTTTGTCAAAACGAATAACAACTTTATTATAAAAAATAGCAGAAAAATCGTTCATAAACAACGATTAAATTCTTTCTAAAGCTAGGAACATAAATACAATGCTTCAAAATTAAAATTCTATCTAAACCAAAATCTAAGTAGACGTCTCTCACTGCAACAGCTAACGCTTTACTAGCATCGCCCATGTAGATGATAATCTTTCCTTGCCTAAGCTGTTTGGTTTCCTGGAATCCCTGCAAATTATTGCAGACATGATCAGTGGCTCATGTATCTACACACCAGGTTCTGGTAGATAACACCGCTAAACATGTTTCAGCGACTAATGAAAAAGATTTACCTTTATCGCCCTTCTTGAGGAGAGGGCAGTCGGCCTTCCAGTGTCCTCGCTGCTGGCATCTGTGGTATTTGCCTTTTGGCTTCTTTGTTCCCTTCTGAGTCTGCACGTCATTCATGAGGGCTTTTCCCTTTCCTGTAGACTTTTTCCTCTTCATACCCTTACCAAGTCTGGAAGAAGATCACTCGCCTCGCTGGGCCACCATGGCTTGAGGCTTCTGACTAAATAGGCCCTCTGCCGACTAGAGTTCTGCCAGGAGTCCAGGAAGTGTCAACATCATCTTGTTCATGTTGTAGTTCAACCGAAACTGCTCAAAACTCTTCGGCAATGATTGGAGGAATATATCGACCTGCGTTTCCGCGTCAATAAATCTCCTATGAACCTCCAACTCATTCAGCTGGGCCATCATAACAAGAACATGTATCCTTATGGGAGTGCCCTCACGCATGGTCATAGTCATCAACGTCCTCATGGCGTCTTGAAGGGCAGCCCGGAACTAATGGCCAAACAGTCCCTTGAGACTGTGGAGTATCTCTGCTGCAGTGTTCGTAGACTGATGCTGATGTTGAAGCACATATGACAAACAGGCCAAAATATACCGCTTCGCCATCTCATCAGCCTTTTTCCACTTAGCATACTCATCTTTCTCTTGATCTGTTGAGCCCTCTCCTGGCTCCTCCGGACAATACTCAGTAGTAACAAAATTTATACCCCTCAGCAGTTAACACTATATACAAGTTTCTTTTCCAATCAATATAATTGGGACCAACAAGTTTGTTTTCTTTGAAAATTACGTACAACGGATTGAAAGACATTTTGAATTCCTGGGATCATGCATAATTTTACTCAGTCAAGTGTTTCGAATTTAACTATCAAATATTGATCCCTTCAAAACAATATTCAAATAAATTCATCGACACCTCAAAACACCGAATCTCCGCAGGCCACGGAGTGTGGACGTCTACGGTTCATACCGTCGCATGAGGAGAGATTAATTCCTTTAACTAACATACTGCCCCATTAGTACTTAATTAATAGTTGGTTTACCTTTTGGCCATCGCAAAATAAAAACAACATTTTCTTTTGGGAATATCGTAATAATTTACAGTTAAGTGTAACCCATTAATTGGTCCTAACCTTACTACCAAAATTATACGTCCACCTTTGGGTGATCCGTATGCTTTTGAAATAGTTCAATATAACCATCCCTTACGATATTTGTCCTTATGAACTGTGAAATAACCGTCCTTTGGGCTAGATTTGATCACTTCATCGACAAACCTGTAATGGAGGCCGTGGATACAATTTATTTCAATCCATTCACACTTAATATATTAATTTAAGGGATTTTCCTAAACATGCTCCTAATGGTTCAATTTGCACATAAGCAATTAAATCACGTAAGGACATGAATAATTAAACGGCAATAATAAAACAAGGAATAAATAAATAATTCAACTATCATGGTCATTCAATCAATATCCAAACTTTTTAGAGAAACACAATCCCTGTCCTTGTCGAACTGTGTTTTCCTTTTTGGGAGTTGGATATGCTCTTTCACGGTGACTCCCACTACTCGTCTTGAATGGGTCGTCTCCGGGAATTCTTCTATTGGATCGCCATCATCGGCTTGTATCCGCGTGTTTCTTGCCTCGTCGAAGTTGGTCCACGTTTGCCGGATCAATAATGAATAATATAAAACAATTACATAATTCATCCTATGACCCGCGCAGGAGTCGTACATGAGTTTTCTATGAAAGCAGTAAACTATGCGTGTCCCACTGCGCGAATAATTAATTACAAGCATTCACCAACCCAAAAACTCCTCGACATGTCCGAGGCATATAAAACAACATACATGAATTAAAACCATACATACGGGCCAGAATAGTGGGATTCGAAATCACATGCAAACAACCTTTTGCAATTTCTAATCTACTATGCTCTGCGTCCGTACGTAATTAATTCACATAAACAAGTAAGTCCTAATTCAACAGTGCACGAAGTTGAATGAAACTTGGGCTCTGACACCAGTTGTTGGGTTTTATTAGGAGCGACAATTACATGCACGTTTGAATTAAGCAAAGTAAACCATAACGCGGCAGAATCCATAGTTAGGGTTAGGACATTACTGTTTAAAAATTTTGCCGACCCAGAGACGTTTCTGATTTCCTTTGGTGGAGATCATTTGATTACCAAAACAAGATAGGCTGACGGGTTTGGCCTTTCTTGATTCTGATCGAGTCAAAGAATCACGATCACTGGATCGGGCTCGTCGAGATCAGGCTGGTTAGATCGGCCTCGGTTCGCTGGGTTGACTCGGTCGGACTCGTGTTGACTCGGTCGGAACTCGGGCTGACTCGTCTCGGTCGGTGGAGCAGCGGCTGGGCTCGGTCGCTGGTCGCGGATGGGCGCTGCCAGGCACTGGTCGGCACACGCGAATGGGTGCAGGTTGCTGGTCGCGGACAGGTGCGCGTCGGGCTCGTGACACGCGGATGTGGGCACAGGCGCAGTCGGCATGCTGGGACTTCGGTCGGCACGTCGGGCTTTGTGCGTCGCGGGTCTCCTATGTCGAGGCAGACTGGGCTCTTTTTGTTTAAAACTACGCCAGACTAAGTCTATTTTATCAGTTATTATCTGAT